GTTGAGATTATATATTAGGCAACAAAATAAGGCTTATAAGTTTGAGAGGATGAAAATCATATCAACCATTTTTTTCCAAGCACAATGATATGAAACTAAAAATTAATTACATGAAGAAAACTGGAAAATTCACAAATATGTGGAGATTAAGCAACATGCTACTGAAAAACAAATGGGTCAAAGAGAAATCGAAAGAAATTAAAAAATATTTTGAGGCAAACAAAAATAGAAATGTAGCATACCAAAATTTGTGGGATGCAGCAAAAAATTTCTAACAGGGAGGTTCATAGCGACAAATGCCTACCTTAAGAAACAAGAAAAGTCTCAAATAAACAGCCCAACATTATAGCTCACGGAACTAGAAAAAAGAACAAAGTCCAAAGTTAGTAGAAGAAAGGAAACAACAAGGATTAGAGCAAAAGTAAATGAAATGGGACTAAAAGGACAATAGAAAAAAAATCAATAAAATTAGGAGCTGATTCTTTGAAAAGATAAACAAAATTGAAGAGCCTTTAGCTAGACTCACCAAGAAGGAGGACTCAAATAAATTAAATCAGAAATGAAAGAGGATATGTTGCACTGATGCCACAGGAGTACAAAGAATCATAAGAGACTACTAGGAACAATAATATGCCAACAAATTGCACTACCTAGAAGAAATGGATAAATTCCTAGAAACACACAACCTAACAAGACTGAATCATGATTCAGCAGGGAGCCTGCTTCTCCTTCTCCCTCTGCTGCTCCCCCTGCTTGTGCTCTCTCGCTTTCTCTGTCAAATAAATAAATAAAATCTTTATAAAAAAGACTGAATCATGATGAAATAAAAAATCTGAACAGACTGATTAGTAGTAAGAAGATTAAATCTGTATTCAAAAACCCTCTAAGAACCAAAAGTCCAGGACCAGATGACTTCACTGGTGAATTCTACCAAACATTTGAAGAATTAATACCAATCGTTCTCAAACTCTTCCAAAAAAATAGAAGAGGAGAGAACTCTTCCAAACTCATTTATGAGGCCAGTATTACCCTGATACCAAACCAGACAAGAATGTTTCAAATTATATGCCAATATCCCTGCTGGACATAGATGCAAAATCCTCAACAAAATATTAGCAAAATGAATTCAACAATAGATTAAAAGGATCATACATGATCATACCATGATCAAGTGGGATCTATTCCAGGGACACAAGGATGGTTCAACATCCACAAATCGATGTGTTTATACCACCTTAACAAAATGAAAGATAAAAATCATATGATCATTTCAATAGATGCAGGAAAGCATTTGACACATTCAGCATCCATTTATGATAAAAACTTTCAACAAAGTGGCTGTAGAGGGAATGTAATAAAGGCCATATATGATGAGTGCACAGATAACATCATACTCAACAGTAAAAGCTGAGAGCTTTTCCTCTAAAATAAGGAACAGGACAAGGATGCCCATGCTCACCAATTTCATTCAACACAGTAATGGAAGTCCTAGCCAGAGCAATTCGGCAAGAAAAAGAAATAACAGGCATCCAAATTGGAAAAAAGTGTCACTATTTGCAGATGACATATTATATATAGAAAACCCTAGAGACTCCATCAAAAAAATGTTAGAACTAAAAAAACAAACAAACAAAACAACTCCCCAAAAAACTGTTCGAACTAATAAACTCGTTCAGTAAAGTCATAGGATACAGAATTGATACAAAAAAATCTTCTGCTTTTCTATACACCAGATAACCACAATGAGATATCACCTCACACCTGGTAGAATGACCATTATCAGGAAGAAAAGAAATAACGAATATTGGTGAGGCTGTGGAGAAAACACCCCTGTTGGTGGGAATGTAAATTGGGGTAGCCACTGTGGAAAACAGTATGGAGGCTCCTCAAAAAATTAAAAATAGGAGCACCTGAATGGTGCAGTTGGTTAAGTGTCCAACTCTTGGTTTCAGCTCAGATTGTGATCTCAGCAATGAGATCAAACCCTGTGGCAGGCTCCACACTCAGCATGGAGTCTGCTTGAGTTTCTTTTTCCCTCTCCTTCTATCTCTCTCCCACTGCTTGCTCTCTCTCTCTCTCTCTCTCTCAAATAAATAAATAAAATCTTCTAAAAAAATAAAAATAAAACTACCCTGTAGGGGCACCTGGGTGGCTCAGTTGGTTAAGCATCTGACTCTTGGTTTCAGCTCAGGTCATGATCTCAGGGTCGTAAGATCGAGCCCTGCATCAGCCTCTGTGCTCAGTGGAGAGTCTGCTTGAGATTCTCTCTCCCTTTCCCTTTGCCCCTCCCCTACTCACACTCCCTCTCTCTAAAATAGTAAACAAATAAACGAACAAACAAACAAATAAATAAATAAGTAAAAATAGAGCTACTCTATAATCCAGCAATTCCACTTCTTGGTGTTTATTCAAAGAAAATGAAAATGTGATTTGCAACAACACAGATGAAACTTAAGGTCCATGCTAAGTGTAGTAAGTCAGATAGAGAACGACACAGTATGATCTCTTTTATATATGGAGTCTTAAAAAAACAAAAACAAGGAGTGCCTGGGTGACTCAATCTCTTAAGTGTCCAAACCTTGGTTTTGGCTCAGGTCATGATCTCAAGGTTGTGGAATCGAGCCCCACATTGGCTCTGTGTTCAGTGAGGAATCTGCTTCAGATTCTCTCTCCCTCTTCCTCTCACCTGCCTTCTCTCTCTCTCAAATAAATAAATAAAATCTAAAAAAAAAAAAAAAAACCTAACAAAAAACACCCAAAACCACCACCACCAACCACAAAAACAAGTTCATAGATATGGAGAACAGATTGGTGGTTATCATAGGCAAGGGTTGGGGTGGGGGTGGGAGATATGTGTGCAGAGGGTCAAAAGGCAAAAAGAAAAAATAAAGACATAAAACATTCAACAACCCCTAGGTATCTAAAGAAAGAGATCATCTCAGAATGGGGTAAGCAGCAGGAATAGATTCACAGATCCGTGCAATGTTGGAGCTGGTGGGTACATGTTGCAAGCATTCTAAATCTCACATTTTATTTTTATTAAAAAAATTTTTTTTTATTAGGTAAACTCTATCTCCAATGTAGGGCTTGAACTCACAAACCCAAGATCAAGAATCAAATGATCCACTGACTTGGCCAGCCAGGTACCCCTAAATCTCATATTTTAAGTAGTGACTAGGCCCACGGGGGAAAGGGCATGCCCCAAGTTAACAGAGATATTTATGGGTGCCCCTGGGGAATGCTGAGTACTTAAGAATAGGTGGAACTCTAATACCAGCTTATTTACTTTGTAACAAAATAACCAGTAAATTCAGTAGGACACACACACAAAAATAAAAACCAACATCGGCATTGTTAGTTTGCCATAATGTAGACCAAACAGTCGCTTGTTTTGGTAGAGCTCTGAATCAAGCTGAATAGGAAAACATTCCAAACACTCATGATTTTCTATGGTAGTAAACAAGTCAGAGACCGCAGTGACAGTGAGCGTTGGACCATATCTCAGCACCCTTATCTAAGGACAGGAGTGGGTGCAGTCAATTAGGGTGTACAAATTACTTCTTGACTACATTTTTATTTCTTAGCCTTATTAAAAGAAAGAATACTATCTTAACAAATCCGATTTCTGAGATGATTGTATTTCTTCCACTTTTCTTTTTTAGAAGGATATTGTCATGTTGCAGCCATTCTTTTTAGAGGTATCTCTTAATTAGCAATAGAATTCAGGACCTGGTATTCTGAGATTTAGGCGATTGTGCCCAGGAAAAGTATGCCAGTAATAACATAATTAATTGGCTGCAAAAAAAAAAAAAAACGTGATCTTCCAAATTGTCTTAGAAATCTGTATTCTGATGGTACAAATAAACCCAGACATAATGAAGTGGTCTTAGTGAATTGGAAGCCCTGCTTTCCCACTCTGTATTTATTCCATTTTTACAACAGCTTTTGGTTTAATTTAATACATTATTATAGAAGAAAGGGTCCATTAAACAGCTACAGAAAAGTGAGAAATATGTTCCTTTTAAATTTTTTTAAATGAAGCATTAAAAAGTAGAATACTTCTAAAATGATATTCAAATGATTTTTAATTACTACAAATGCATTGAGATGTTAATACACTTCATATAAAAGGGAGGGATACTCTTCCATCAGTCCTTTTCTGCCACAAATTCCAACCCTAAGAAAATTCTTTCTTTTGATCCACTCTGTTAGCATGTAATAAAAGAACAATAAAACATATGGCTCAATTACCACTGCTTCTCATCAGGCATGAATTAATGAATATCCAATTATTATTAATTGTTTTTTCTGGCTTCCCCTCCATAGGACAATTATACATTGCTGTATTTTGATAAGCGTTTTGTACTTAACGCTTTGCAGACCAGTCTCTAAAAGGAACAGATTCTTGAAATCATTACACAGAAGAATAATTCTTTAAATTTATCAACATTTGGAAAATACATGATGATCATTTAATCTCCCTAGTTGATGTCAGTTTTTCACAACTACCTTAAGCTTCCCTAAAATTCCGCCCTCTCTTCAATATTCTGTATGCCTTCCTTTGAGAAAGCAGTTGCTATGTGCATATAAAATAGTTTATATTCAATTTCTCACAATAATACTAGTTCCTCATATATGATTATTGAATTTTCAATTCCTCAAGAAAAAGCTCTTTAAAAATAAAAGCTATATGGTGCCTGGGTGGCTCAGTCAGTTAAACAACCCACCCTTGATTTTGGCTCAGGTCATGGTCTCAGAGTCTTGAGATGGAGCTCTGTGTCGGGATCTGCACTGGCCGTGGAACCTGCTTGGGATTCTCTCTCTCCCCCTGCCCCTCCCCCACTACTCTTCTCTCTCAAAAAAATAATAATAAAATAAAAGCTATAGCTAAAGTAGTTAAAGAATTACATTAACCAGCATGGCATAGAATATACAAAATTATGATCTCTGTAATTGACAACATCGATATCAGTGAATGAAACTAACACTCCACAAAAAGGTTCTGTGTAACTGGTAGTTCATTTTATTTTTATTTATAAGCTGTCTGCAACTGTAAAGTGCTATGTAATATGAGTAGATGCGACAAGCAAAAGAACATGTCTTTGTAATCCACAACCATTATTTCTCAGAGATTATTCATATACTTGGATTTTGAAATGCATGCAAAGAAAATCTAACAACTTATAATATGTAAACTATACACATCATGTATAATTTTACCCATTACTCATAAATCCATGTTTCTGTTTTTAAAACATTCTATAAAAATTATATCTGTGGCAAACTGAAGGATAACATTAAATTGGTTAGATGTACTATTTAGTTCAATATGCTTAACAAACACATATTCAAATATGCTTTTAAAGAGAAAACAACACTTGCTTTAGAATCAGAAAATCTGGGGAGCAGATTGGGGACCAATCATTTTGTATGGAAGGGTCAAGTGATCCTCTGAGGTTCATACAACTTTATATGAAACATCTTTCTGCCAAACTTCATAAAAAAATTTCTATCAACATTTCTTTTGAGCATAAAAGAAATATATCTTGCTTTTTTGACAGTTTGTCAGGATGTCAATAGTATCTGTAAATACAAATCCTTAGGGAAACAAAGATGGGAGAAAAGGAAACTTGTCTATAACGGCAACCACGATGTGCAGCCCACTTATGGAGCAGAGATGGACCTAGTTAGGGTTGACACAGCTCACTGCCATCAGAAGCATCATCCCTTCGACATTGGTAACTGGAACCACTTGAATTTTTCATGGCTAAATCTAGCCAGATACCAGATGGCTTCCTTTATGTATATGACCTTATTGAAGGCAATTAGACTATTTATGCAATAGCAGAATTGTTAGTTGTATACAAGGGTCAATCTTCAGTGTAAAAGCTTTTTTAGATGACATATTCTTAAAATAAAATTTAACTTCCTAATGAACACTTTTCTCTTGATTTCCATGTGCCAGAATTATTGAATCCACTTTGCTGAAAATTTTAAAGAAAATAACAGTTAGAAATACAACTTCAGTACATACATAAGCCTGTAATTAAACAATTTTAAATAACTATTCATCGACGGGGTAGTGGTGGGTGAAGCATTTTACTTTTTCTTTCTACTGCATTCATCACTATGGCTTTGGGTCAGATGCCATAAACACAAAGTTACCAATGCCTGGTACTTGTACTTATGAGATGCCTGAGAGTCGAGTCTTGCCAACCAGTATGTACTATAAAATAGGCAATGCATATGGAGTGCACCTAGACAGGGAGGAAGACACAAAGATCTCTGAGTCTTTTGGTAATCATATCTCCTAAGCTGTTTCATGGATTTCTAGAAGACTGAAAGTTTGAGAGTGCCACCATGCACACCAAGGCCTTTGATATAATACTGGATCATAATAAGGCTGCTAAATTAGGAAGAAAATGGAATATGGGAACTGGCTGGGGAAAGCAGAAAATAGAAAGCCAAGTATGAATATAATTAGGTTTGTTCTTGTAATTGATACTGCAGCCTGATGGAACGTAGGTTTCTGCGTATTTCTCAGAGCATTTTCCAGATGCAGCCTCCCAGTACCTCATTAATGTCACACATTTGTCATTAAATTCCGTATTTTGGATCCCATGTAAGAACTGCACATGCTCCTCTTTTATTTGCCACGCCAGTAAGACATCAGGGAACTTGCCCTCACATAGTACTGTTGACCTGCTATCCAATATCATCTCGGTTATTCTATCTACGTATCATTAAATTAAAAATAAAATCCTGATACTGGCTATTAAAAACTAATCAAGTTTCATAGGATTTTATTTTGCTAACTTAGTGTACTTTGTGCATAACTTTTAGATCAACTTTTGAAGTTTTTACACTGCTTAAAGAAAGTAAGTTAAAAATGCAAGTCCTTAGTGTTTTCTGCTCATATCATTTATGTCAATTAAGAGCTCATAAAAAATACTTAGATGCTATACTTAATATAGAATTATATAGAACTAGCTCTAAACTTTCCATTTAAAGATAACATTGAAAAGCATTTAGCGTAGTAACCAAATTAGATACAAAAGTATACTTCAGTGCAAATATAAAAGGTCATTCACAGAAATGGACTTCAAACAATTATTTGAGCAAAGAAGATCTTTATTTTTGTTTAGAAAAAATAAAAAACTTTCCAAAATAAGTGACCTCTTTACTTAGTTGTATTATGCCTGGCCTGATATCAGGAGACAATCATATATGTTGACTGATTTTATGCCTTAAAATACTATGATAGTATAACTACCTTCAGCTGAATTCTTAAGTGTAATTAATAAAATATTTTTAACTTTATTGAAATCCTGCATTTCAACAATATTAAGTGCTCATTAATATTAGTAAAAGTGATCATTTCTTAAAGAGCTTAACACTTACCCATTACTTTAGAGTAGCAAGGTTCACAGTGTATTGTCTGTCTATAAATCCAAATACTGTCACCTGCCTGTAGGTTTTCCAAAGGCCGCTTGCATATTTCACACTAAAGAAAAAAACAGTATATGAAGTTTATACACATTATATATGAAGTCTAGATTCTTAGTGTAACAGGATAGAAAAGCCCTTTCGATTCATTCAGTACCATCCTACATAGCAACACTCAGGTGAAAGAGAACCCACAGGGAAAGCGAGAATGTACTTGTCCAGGACCCTAATGTTGAACTTTTCAAATAAATTCTCACAACATCTCTCTACTCTGAAAATGTGCATTTCAGGGCATATATAGCACTGAAGCTTCTACTTAACTCACAATAGAGTAGATACAAATTTTCAAAAATTGGTTATGCCAAGGATAAGATCACTACTCGATATCGCAAACAAAAACACAAAGCATATTTGTTTGCTTACTAAGGGGGAGTTATGTTGTCCAATTACAGTCTGACTGGACAAAACAGACCTCTGCTATTACATAGGCTTTAGGGAACAGTTTGTTTTGTGTTGTGTTTGTTATGGAGGCAGAAAAGGGTTGACCTGTGTTCTTTGGAAACAAGTTCACTGCTGAATGGCTGACTTCCAAGCATGAGGCTGTCACTGGATGGCTTTCAGAGGTGAGTTCATTGAAGCAAATTGTCACTGATCAATTCAATACGTTTAAACAAGTCCAGGTGGTTCTCTATTATCATGACTATAAGAGTAATACATCTTTTCCGAGGACTGTGGGGACATTTTTATCCTCAGTAGTATTTTATAATTAAATCGAAAATGGAAATAAATCATCCAAAATATAATAAATGGAAATTATTGTTATTTACCAAAAGAAATAATTGTGAGAATTATCTTATTTTAAAAAGTTTTCTGGGGTGCCTGGGTGGCTCAGTCGTTAAGCGTCTGCCTTCGGCTCAGGTCATGATCCCAGGGTCCTGGGATCGAGCCCCGCATCAGGCTC